TCCGGGCCGCCGCTAACCGCCTCCCCGCGCCGGAAGCGGGCAGGGCAGGAGGGGGGCCCATTGGGGCCGGGCCCGCCCCGGGGCAGCCTGGGAGTTGTAGTCCGGGCCGGGGTTGGGGGGAGCAGGCACAGGGATTTCCCCACACCCCCCATGGCGGAGAATATCCCCCTGGAGCGCCCCCCGCCCCCCGCTTTGTGAACTGTGGCGCCATAGAGCCCGCCTGCACCGCACGGGGTCACCCCGCACGGGCCCTGACACCCCGCTGGGGAATTCGGACCCCCCCCTCAGGCCAGTGCACAGACACACAGCGCCGGTGTACCCGCGTGGAGAGGCGGACCCAGGGGCACCAGACAGACGGATGGCGAGGGCAGTCTATTGAACAGACAGAGAGAGAGGGGAGGGGGTATGTGTCGGACAGACAGACGGGAGTCTATGGGACAGACAGAGAGGGGTTATGTGTCGGACAGACAGAGGGGAGTCTATGGGACAGACAGAGAGGGGTTATGTGTCGGACAGACAGAGGGGAGTCTATGGGACAGACAGAGAGGGGTTATGTGTCGGACAGACAGAGGGGAGTCTATGGGACAGACAGAGAGGGGTTATGTGTCGGACAGACAGAGGGGAGTCTATGGGACAGACAGAGAGGGGTTATGTGTCGGACAGACAGAGGGGAGTCTATGGGACAGACAGAGAGGGGTTATGTGTCGGACAGACAGAGGGGAGTCTATGGGACAGACAGAGAGGGGTTATGTGTCGGACAGACAGAGGGGAGTCTATGGGACAGACAGAGAGGGGTTATGTGTCGGACAGACAGAGGGGAGTCTATGGGACAGACAGAGAGGGGTTATGTGTCGGACAGACAGAGGGGAGTCTATGGGACAGACAGAGAGGGGTTATGTGTCGGACAGACAGAGGGGAGTCTATGGGACAGACAGAGAGGGGTTATGTGTCGGACAGACAGAGGGGAGTCTATGGGACAGACAGAGAGGGGTTATGTGTCGGACAGACAGAGGGGAGTGAACAGACAGAGAGAGAGGGGAGGGGGTATGTGTCGGACAGACAGACAGAGGGGAATCTATGGGACAGACAGAGAGAGGGGGTATGTGGGACAGACAGACAGGGTAAGTGTGGG